ATGCATCATATGAAAAAAAAATGTAAATAAAATAATGGAATGCAAACAAATAAAATTGAAATTCCGCAGTAAGAATAATTCTACTTTATACATATCAAGGTAAGAATCACGCAAAACCGCTTTGAACTTGTGAATTTCATATGATTTGAGGTACTGGGGGATAGGATTGTATAGCTTATATATATTATACGTAAATGATCTTCAGAAAATTTAGTTCTGTGGAATGGAGCGGTAATGTTTTGTTTCGAACGAATATTTACGGAATGGATGTCTTTTCTGAATGTTATTTTCTCGTAGAGGTAATGAGGCTGCCTGAGAGTTAAAATTTTATGATAAAAGCATATTGTGAATATCTCAAACGAGCCTTCATATTTAGCCACCGGAGTTCTTTCAGCTTATGACTAACTCTTTCAAATTTTCTTATGCCATCTATAAACGTATGCATGCGTTCTGTGTTCTCTGTATTCGCATGAATGTATCACAATCTAAACATGCAGAATAAATTGGAACACAGTACGAAAACTGTGATATAAACCAAGGTTTGGCAAGAATTCTTTTGATGTCTAAATTAAGAAAATTTCCGTGAGGATACAATAATTTTAGAGCCAGATAAGATTTTTTGATACAGTTGATATGTGCTCACGAACCTCAGATTATAATCCATTGTTAAGCCTAAGTTTTTAACTTTATCACAGTATTTTAATCTAATATTATTTATGGTTATATTAAATTCTCAATCACATAAGACCGGTCTTTACCAAAGATCACAGCAGCTGATTTATTTGGATTTAATATTAATGAATGCTCTGCAATCTTTTAGAGAGGTTAGTCAAGTCACTGTTTATTTTCAATTCGGCAGCTGGCCAATCTGAACTAGGAAAAGAATAGTACAGCTGGGTATCATCCGCATAAACGTGTTACAGAATTCCAAACATTTAAGGATCTGACTGTATATATAGTGAAGAGCAATGGTCCAAGTATAGATCCTTGCGGTACACCTGTAGTAGTGGGCTTTGAACTAGATATTTCATTCTTCAGTTGTACACACTGTTATCTGCCACTTAAGTATGAATTAAAAAGTTTTACGCTGTCAGTAGACAATCCACATGACTTTAAGATAGACAGCAAGACATCATGGTCAATTGTGTCAATGCCTTGCTGAAATCTAATAGTATAAAGCGGTAGACTCACCCAGATCATTCGACTGAATGATATCATCAGTTATTTTAGCAAGAGCAGTGGTGCAACTGTATCCTGAACGAAAACCTGACTGTTTTAGGAAGGATACTTTGACTTTCAATATGTGTTCTTAATTGTATTTCAATAATTCTTTCAACCAATTTAGAGAGACCAGCTAATACTTATTGGACGAAGATCTGATAGCTGTCAGCTTCCTTACTTTTGGAATTGGCACTATTAAGGCCACTTTCCAGCACTTGAATATTTTACCTCAAAAAATTGTATTAATAAGATTGTACCAAATATGGTAAAATATACAGGACACACAATTTGACGAGATGTATGCTAATGCCATCTTTCCTGGTCTGGTGTTTTTATCCTACTTAATGCGTCAAATACGTCTTGCTCAGATACCAATTTGAAATTGAACTCTAAATTACATATTTTGTTTTGATCATAATCTACTAGGAGATCTGCGGCAGACCAATCAAATCTATATCCCACGGGAAGGAGATCCAAAGCGTTCTAAAAGATCCGGATTTTCGAAGCAATGCTGAGTAATCCAACTGGGGCAATTCAGAGATCAGAATCAATTCAAGGAGTTACCAGACAATCCAAGCGAAACGGGTCCAAGGAGATCCGACGCTATCCAAGGAGATATATTCCAACAAGATCTCCGGGGCAATCCAATGAAATTTTATATACCAATGGGAGGAGATCCCAGGCAATCCAAGAAGATCGATGTTCGCGGTAAATCAAGAAGTTTCGAAGCAATCCAAAGAGAAGTGAAATAATTTAGAGTCCTAGGCTCTCCAAGGACATCAATTCTGAGACCCGGGACAATCTAGCGAAATTTTCTATACCAGGGAGAAGATGCGAAGCATTCAAGAAATATAGATTTTGAGGCAATTCAAGCAATTTGTAGGTAATCGAAAGAAAGACGAGGTAATTCAAGAATATCAGAAGGTACACAACGAGATCATCTACCCCAGTAAGAGAAGATACAAGGTAATTATTTAAGAAATTTTCTATCTCAGGGAGGCAAGCCGAAAGATTTGAGATGATTAAGGAGAAATTCTAGGCTATCCTAGATAATATGAGGTGATCCAGAGATTGCTAGTAATCCAAGGTATCCGCGCCAATTCAACCAAGGCAATTTGGGTGGGGATGCGACAGATTCCAAGAAAAGCTGAGAAGGTTCAAGAAGATTCAGTGAAGTCCAATGATTTTCAAGAATATCCAGAGAAATATCAGTGGAGGAGATCGTTGAGGAGCAGACTTGCAAATTGCATTTTGTCCATTTTTACCATTTTCAGGAGCAAAAAAATAGTACAGAAAAACCAACCATAAGACAGGAAAGGAAAAACTTTTGGGATAATATAATGTTATCAGGTGTATGGACCTCCATTACAAGTTTTGGTGCAAGAAAGTCGAAAAACAACTTGAAAAAATTAAAAAAATTGTTGGAGAATGCAGTTTGATTGTCTCTAGTGAAAAAATGCAATTTGAGTGTCACTGTCAAGTTAACAAAAATAAAAGTTGTGTTTACTTAAAAAAATATATTGAAACATTATCATCAAACAACAAAATAAATGTGTAGGTATTTAATAATATTAGTAGTAAACTATTCTATTTTTAAATAAATTCATTATCATTCTCAGCGCACACCAGCCTCTTCGTCATTTTCGTGCTCTTCATCTTCATCATTACAGTTTCGATACTCGATTTCACCACAACGCCTGAGGGCTTTCATCGTTGATGATTACTTTTACTTGAGCTAATTCCTAGGAGTTTTTTCAAACAGATTGAAGCTTGTTTATACACCAATGACCAATCAGTTACAGTTTTCCGAGTTCACCTGCTTGTTTGTAAAGTTCCCAATATTTTTGAGGTGTTTTATGACCGCACGTCATCTTAAAATATTTACCACCCTCCCAAAAATTATATCTGCCGGAAGATAAGAGTGTCCTCGCACCTCGGAAGAGCTTCTATTTTTTTAATCGTTTCTGGAGCAAAGCTGTCTAACCTAACATTAGCGTGTGGATGGTAAAGCTATTTTTATTTTGCATCCATCAGAGAAGAACCGAAGAGTGTATTATTCGGGGCAAAATTGGTCTTTTTCAAAAATCAAACAGGGCTGACGATAATTCGGTCGCTCCTCCCCTGCCAGCTTGATGTTTCATCACGAATAAAAAACTAAGTGGACTTAATCGTTTGTTTGTCTAGGTATTATTTCCACTCTAATAACACTAAATGCATTCGAATGTTCAATGTTCATAAAGAGTTAGTATTTCATCATAGGAAATGGCAGCGCCACCTCTATCTCAAATATGGAAAATTTGGACAAATGCATTTTGCAAATATGCTCCTCGTTTGTTCCAAAAAGCGGTGTTAGTTAAACTATTGAATTTTTATTAGATTTTTGAATTCTAGTTATTTCTATTAAGCCTACTTCATTCTGTTCAATGTGAGCAAGTTGCTCTTGCGGCTATTGCTATCATGATCACGACGGACGTGTTCTGCCATATCAAGTTCTCATTCTCTATGAACTGACTAATCATTCTTTGGATTAACTGCGTTGCGTATAAGCTACAACTCCATGTCAATCGATTAGAAACTAAGGAAGCGCAGTGGCATATATCAGCGTGTACTCGGGACAACCGTAAAACTTTGTCTTTCAATCCATTTTACTGTGCATGGGTGGGGGGTGGTGCGCACCATCACTGACATATATAAACCCGCATACTATATAGCTGGCCATTTTGTGTCCCCCTTCTTCCCTCTGGATGAAATGTTTGTGACGAGAAGGATTCCCGGTCGTATCGCCTCAGCTTTTATTGATATTAAAATGTCTAGTTAGATTTAGGTAGTAGTGAGTGTCTGCAGTACTGCAACCACCAAATAACGTTTTGATTATTAGATTATTACATTCTTTAGTTGTTGGAGCACATCGAAAATTGTTAAAAAATAATAGCACGGTAACTGTAATAGGGGATCCTGGATTTCGAACCCCCTATTTCTCGTGAGGTGTCATCGATTCCCATCACAACAAGAGATACAAAATCGCCATTTTTATGCCTCATAGCCGATGTCATCTGACTTGCTTATCGTTGTATTGCGTACTGCGGGACTACGTTGCAAGATAAGATAGATCCGCAACGGCTCTTAGATATAGGTTAAGGCAGCAATCAAACAAGTAGTTTTCATAAAAACGAGTACGCAGCTGTTGAAGAATATATTATGCTTCAAAGTAACGTACGATTTATGCTTTGATACTTAAGAACAGTGAATTAAATTCACCCTGGAGTTTCTAAAAAACGTATACTGAATTATTCATTTATTGTCAATGATAACTAGCACTCTAGGCATTGATTCACAGATTATTATGAGGGTAACTTATACGGCTATGATGAAGAAAGTTATAAAACTAAGCTCTAAGGTTTAAGAGACTAAATCAGGAGTTCCCAACCAGGAGGGCGCGCCTCCAAGGGGGGCATAGAGAGATGTCAAGGGGGACGGAAAGCGTTTGCATTTTAGAAAAGAAATAACAAAAAAATAAACAAACAACATTAACAAATAACATTAACAATTTGATGTGTTTAATTTACACGCATAAAATTCGAAATTAAATGTCATATTTACTTATTCTGTTCCATACAGAAGTAAAGTAAAGTTAATTCTTTTTCTTGAGTTAAAAGAAAAACACGCATTTCTGACAATGTTCAAAGATGACATTTCAATGGAGGTTGGTTATTTAACTAAGATATTTGACTCCTTGAATGAGCTAAACTTAAACTTCGGGGCAGAAACATCACTATAATAACATTATGATTATATTCGTTCATATCATAGCTGCAAGCGCTGGTAGATGAATTTCTCCGATACTATCGAGACATCAATTCAGAGTCACCAATATGGCACATGACAAGAAATCGATTTGTTGTCGATGTGTCACAATTACCAGAAGAAGTTCACGAAGAATTTCTAGAAATGAAGGCTGATTCGTCCATGAAAGATGACCTCCATCTTTTAACATTGGAGAAATTTTGGATCAAAAGATTGCCTGTTAATTCGACATTTTCCTCTCTTGCTTTACGAATACTAGTTCCTTTTTCTTCAACTTACTCATGTGAGACAGGCTTTTCTGCTCTAGTTTTAATTAAAACTAAACAGCGAAATCGTCTTGAGGTCGATAGCGACCTGATGATATCTCTGGCAAAAATAGAACCTAGAATCAACCAACTGGTACATAACATGCAATCAATGTCTCATTAGTACCTACTCTTATTTATTCAGATTTTTCGATAAAAAACATTATTAGTTTATTAAACTTTTAAAGTTTCTTTATTAGAATTAAAATAAAAGTCTTTGTACCTATATAATGTGCGTTTTTTGTATTTATTGAAAAAGTAAAGGGGGATGAAAATATAATGTATAGTCCGGGGAGCCACAATAAAAAAAAGTTGGGAAACCCTGGACTAAATTATCAAAGAGATGTTAACAGACTAACATAGCCGTTTGTTTTTCATTAGGAGAACTAGATTACGCTATTAGTACAAAAACTGCAAAGAATAGAACTGCTCATTTAGAAAGGGTACAAATTATTAAAATTCCCAACTATTCCCGAGACATGGTCACACCTGAGTAAAATTATGGAAATATAAATACCGGCAGGTCCGCATTTGACAGTGCGTGGAATACTTAATGAGCAAAGTTCGTAGCTGTGACCTGAATTGTATGATAAATAAAATGATAATAAGTTTTACGTTGATGATTGCTCCTAAAAGCTTATGCTGTGCAGTTTATGTTTTCGATCCAAGTAAAAAATCGAGAGATCATAATTCCTGCAATCCAAAGCTAGCAAATAAAGTATTGGACACGTGTACGCACTATGGTTGTTTCCATTAATTAAGAAATTGCGTCTAATGCCAGTAAACTTAAATTTGATTTACGAACTTGGTATAGCACGTGTGACTATGGCGCATTCTGAAAAGCGTATTTAGATTAAAGAAACTGGTTCAATAATGTGTTGAGAATCCACGATTTCTTATACACCCATTGACACGCCTGGGCATCGTGCTGATAAGGTGGTCGATATCCTGTTGGGGTACTCATTCCAGGCTACTGTAACTTCGTGAGTAAGAGCTGCTAAAGTCTGTGGAGGGTGTACAAATTCAAGAGCCTGCAACCTATCATGTCCCAGACATGTTCAATTAGAAATAGGTCAGGCGATCATGGTGGCCAAGCTAAACGGTTGATGCGATGTTGATCCATGAAGGCTAAGGATGCTCTGGCAACATGCGGTTTTGGATGGGCGATAAGAAAAAAGACCAAACTGTCGTATTCGGCGATATACCGTACGCATACCAACCGTCCTTCCAGGCTCTTCAAACCACTGATTTAGCGATGGCTCGAGTACTACTGAATCCGTCTCTCAGAGCCAGAGTCTTGTCGCTCTGTGGTCCCTCTGGGATGTCCAGAACTTCGCTCGCTGTCCTCGGCCTTCCTGAGCTCACGCTTGTTCACACTGCAGTATACTGCGTAAGAATCTGTTGGTCCTCCTAGAAATTTCTCTTATCGATAGATCAGCTTCTCGCACCCGACAAGTCGACCCCCTCTCAAAGCACTTAGCTGGCACACCGGCGAATTCTACGCACTGTAGGCATTTTGAGCAATCACAAAAAGGCTCCTCAATAAGCACCCGAAATTTAACATTTAACTGTCACCGTAAAAGTACGAAAACTGAATGCTTCTTTACCATCAAGCAATACCCGCAGCCACCACAAAAACCTGACCATTTTAACACTTGTTATTCATGGCAAGATAATCGATATATAAAAAATTCTAATAAACAGACGCCGGTGTTTACCTTTTTTTGTCGCTCGCAGCAAACCCATGTCCTACGTATAGCCCAACTTCAGGTTCACATTGTACAACGTAACCCAGCAAAAAAAAAACTAATTCTGTCCGACGAATCCGCACACTTCCCGGATCCGGGACGTAATCCCCATATGATTTTTACCATGTTAGAGTGCTCTTAGCGTAGCTGGTGAGTGAAAGGTGTTGCCCTGCCATATCCCATGGGCCCCATAAAGTCGGGCCAGTTCATTCGGCATCCCTGGCCGTTTTCTTACAGACTCCCGCGATAGCCGGAACGGTCTCTTGATGGCATCCCTAAGGTAAGCAGGGGCGTACTTTCTCTTGGAAGATAGATTGCGCCGGAGGAAAAATGGGAATCTAGTACACATGGGCAAACGTAAGCTGCCACAGCGTTTACAAAAATGCATCAGCTGGAATAGGGGTTACGTAGTAAATATACCAATTTTTTAAACTTTATAATGATGTATCAAGTTTATATCTACATCTCTATATATATATGTAAATGTAAACATTTGCATACTTCCTAATTGATACCCGAGGAAGGTTACAGCCATGATTTTATCTGCGTTTTTCAATCAATTCTCGAGGCAAGTGTGACCGTCAAACGAAACATACGTTTTATTTTATCTATACATATATGCACAATACAGGGCGGTGAAAAGTTGTCCATTTTCTAATTGGTTTCATCCGCGAAACTCATTGTCGGTTTTTCAGTCAATTGTCACGGCAGGTACCAAAATCTCGAGCGTCAGCGACAAGCTGGCATCAGAGCGGCCTGTCTTTGTCCCATTCAACCTGAAACCGCCAAGGTCAAACGATACATACGTTTTATTTTGAATTAAGTGTTACCTGCGCCTTCGTACGTTTACCGTAAAAATATTGTTTTAAGTATGCTTGAAACTTCGGCACGGGTATTATGTAAAAACCCATAAATCGTCCAAAAAAACCTATAAAATGTCATGTTGCAGACTAGGTAGTTTTCTAGGATGCAAAAAGTCATTCCACGTTTGTTCACTAGGATCATTGTGAGCGTCCATCTATGGAGGAATGACTCAACTACACGCACTGTTGGTTGCATATAATTAGTCTGAGTTTTCATCTCTGAGAAGAAAGTTGGTTGAATAGCAAGATAGATGATTATGTGTATTAGTCTGCATGTGTATAAAATCAGTGATATTTGTTATGTGAGAAAATCAATGACGTATATGTATTTTAGCTGTGCCCGACGGGTTATTTATATGTTGTCCTTTCTGAAGACAGGTTATGTTCAAAGTTATTTACGGTTTTTTACTTTTGTTTGTGTTTTAAAAAACTTGAGGAGAATTACGGAAAATCACCACCGCGCCCGCGTTGTGTGTAATTACTGTTAGCATGTACAGACTTGTAATTCGACAGTGTACAGCGAATATAACTATTTGATATCTGTCTCATTTTTGAAATTCAGCAAGCTTTGAATCTCAAGTAGGTGTAGTTGAGACAAGAATTCAATGGAATTTTAAAACACATATTATTAGCACACAAATCCTCACTGCACCTATGTATTTCAGTGCCCTTCTAGCTTAGATCTCCAGTAATGCTATCTCCGAAGCAGATTTTACATCATTGATAACTGAAGCATTATCACGTTTAGGCAGCACGTACAACTACAAAACGTGTCCATTAGTGCTAAGTTTACATCGTGTAGAGAAACCTACATAATGTCACAAAAAACCAATACAAAGTCAAAAAAAAAATCGACATAATGTCACTTTTCAAGATACGTAATATCCGTGCCGATCACGTTTTGTGTTTTTGATGGTATTAGTAAAATGACAGCCTACTTGCAAGTTTGGTTAGTTGCACGTTCCGCAGGGCAGACAGCTAGTTGGAGAACAATTGTTTCTTGACTTTTAACAAACTGAAGGTCATACTTTGATTATGACATTCATAGTATCGTATGAATGGCCCATCCAATAAAACCATCAGAGAAATAGAATCGTTCCAACCCTGTCGTCGGATGGACCGCGAAGAGACAATTTGCATTCACTGCCATTACCATTATTGCTAATCACTGAGCAATCGAGAACGAATGACTCGCCATTCGGCATTGCAACCCCAACTCCCACCCTCAGTTGAGTCGTACAATGATGGCGTTTACATAAATTAGGCCTAATACAGTCCGAGCGAGCCATCCTTACCATGCCCCCTGCCGCAGCGATGTAAATGCAAATTGCTTAATCCAACATAAACAAGCTTACTTCCTCGTTGCGGATACCAGCCAAATCTTCTATCCTATATTCATTATTCTCAGCACATCTGATGTGTCATCTGTTACTTTATCTCTTCGCAAACTAGAGAAGCCGAATTAATATTTTAAGTATAACTTGCGAATTAGCTTCGGTTCTTATACGTGACTAATGAGTGATGTACACCCTTTCTATAACACACAGACATACAAGTCAAAAACAATCATGCCAAAAGAAAAATATACCAACGCTACGGTACTACAAGGATCTATCCTCGGACCCTACATGTGGAACCTATGCGTTGCTGATCTCTGCCGGTACAAAACATTGCAGGACAAACGATGTTATAATACGCAAATGGGGCCTGCTAAATGAATCCAAACAGCAAAACACAGCCATCGTTAGAGCAAAGAGGGCAATGGAGGAAAAACCGAATGTATTGAACAAGGTGGGCCATTTAAAGTGAAACCATCAAGCAACCCTATATCTT